AATAATAAAATGATAAATTATTTTCGTTTCTAGATCAAATTGATAAAAAAAATATATATATATATAAAGATTTAAAAATATGATAACAGCAATCATAGATTCACAGTAATATTCCTTGAAATTCATTTAGATTGAAAAGGGTCGAAGGGTCGTACAGGAACGAATAATCCAATTTTTTTTCTTTCTTTTTATATATTACGTATATATAATGGTCAACCCTATTCTGCCCTTTTTCTCCCCACTTCAGTTCTCTTCTATATACACCCTTCTATAAAGTTCAGGTAGTAGAACGTGTTTTTCACATCGAACCTGACGTACCCACAATTCGTATCGTGCGATCAACAGTTCACGTATATGTGTAAAATATATACGTACTCATATATACTTACATACATATGTGTGTATATATATACTTATTCTATATACACATACATATATATATATATATATATATATATATATATATTATAACCTACGAGCTTTCTAGTGGTAGACGTTAGTTTCCTATTCGTTCGTTCTTTCATTGGGATTCATGCTGAGAAACCTAAAGGATCAGTGGTTCTCAATATTTAACATACTCGACTATATTATTCTAAATTTGATTATTCAACCTTTTTATCCCTGATAGACGTACATACATGCATTGTACATAATATGTATGAACTTCTTTATATGTTCTCAAAATTTCGATTCTCAAATCTAAAAGAATGTATATATATATATATATCAATGTAATCAAGATATTAGGCCAGTCAATAAGAGGTGAACGTGAACTTTTTGGAGTGCCAAATGACTTTTTTGATATAATCCCTGAATCGTCAGGAATTGCTAGCTTTCCCTGACCCGTCAACTGTTCTTTGCCATTTTTTGAATCTATGCAAATCGATTAATTACTCAAAGAAGTATTTTACACGTAGACAAAAGTGTGTTCTTTAATTGAAAATAAGTGTCATTTAAATCTATTTATTGTAAGTATAAAAAATATTTATTAGACATAAAATTAATTCATTATTTTTACTCTCTCTCTCTCTCGACTATATAAATAATAATAGTTCTTCTGTTAAAATGAATTACTGTTTTTCTTTTATTCAAGGTTCATTATTTTTGATAATAAACAAAAGAACGACGTGTCATAAGTATCAAAATTCGATTTAAAAATGCCGCGCTTATTATACGTCGATATATATATAATATATAGATATACAGTTGGCCTAAGGTTTCCATTGTTTAATCGATTCCTGGATTAAAACTATTATAAGGTTTTTTTTATTCAACGATCTAAAGCCATAGTGATACATTTTACATATGCATGCAAACATATATACATACATACAAAATGAGTTTTTCAAGTATTTATATTATACCAAAAAGGTAGAAGACTAAATAAAGAAAATATATTTCAAACAAAATTTCATCCTTTTCCTATACAAAACAAACTACGCTTGCAGAAACCTTTTTCGTAAAAACAAACAAAAAAAAAACACCAAAGTTGGACTTGAATTAAATTTGAGAATTTTTCATTAACGCTACAATTATTTATTTGAGAAATGTATCATCATAGTTAATTGTTGCATTTATTTTTGGCTTTAATTTAAACAAATTTAACCGGTACGCTTTATGCGTGTGGTGTATACACGTATGTGTGTACGTGTGCACGTATAGGCGTTTGTTTTGTTACGTCGCGTCGTATCTCTCACAACTTGGATAAAAATCTACTTTGATAATCTCTCGAGAAGAATTACACAAACATCTTACTTTAAAAGCCTTACAAGTGATAAGAATGAAAAAAAAAAAAAGAAACGAAATAATCATTAATTTAATTAACGACACGTTGTTATGTTGTTTCTGCTGTTGTTGGTTTGTGTGTTGTTTGTATTTTTGCTTCCGCGATCATCGTTTGGTATTACTTTCATGCACGCACGCACGTACACACACATAACACACATAACCAAACACGACACGCATATTCGTTTGTTCGTTTTGCCCAGTGTCGACGAAACGCGTCCATCGAGGCGTGATTCGTTTTCTTAAAAATATAGGAACGTTGTTTTCGTGGAAGACATCTTCCGCATTTCGAACACGTTTCCAATGAACAACCACCACCGTAAGATTTAATCGAATTTTGTTTTTCTTTTTTATATTTAATCATTGCTTGCTATACGTTATTGAAACGATTTATTTATTACTCATTGGAAAATAACATTATCCATAATAAAACAATATAGAAACAATCTCATCCAACGTAATACAAACTTGTCTTATACTTTATCAAAGTCAATTTATCGATGACGACAAACATGCATATATAAACGATACGGATCATTTCTAATCGTTAAATCTGATTTTAGCTAAATTTCAACGTATTATTCCAAAAGTTTCATTCTCTAGGGGCGTGGGGGCGAGGGGACTAACAAAACAACGTCACAATATAATTATAATATAATCGAAATAATAAAATGTATTAAAAATAAGGATTAAATAATTAACAAAAACACTTAATAAGAGAGAGAAAAAAAAAGAAAATATAATCGTGTCGGGTCACAGTCAGCCAAAAAAGAGAGAGTGTGGGTGGGAGAGGAGGGGGAGCCTATAAAAGGAAATAAAACAAAAAAATATATAAAAAGAAAGTGAGAAGAAAAAAATAAAAGAAAAGGGAATATATACATATATCTATATACAAAAAAAAATTAAAAAGGAAAAAAAAAGGATAATGGTTGAGAACCATGAATCGGATTGGATCCGCGCAGCCCGTATTCGGGACGCAGATGCGACGCGCAGCCGGCGCGCAGGGTCACGTGACGAGTAATGAAGCTCGCGCTATCTCGCTAAGCGGGGTGGTAGGGTGGAAATAAAAGTGGTAATGGTGGGGGGGTAAAAGTGAACGAGCGTTGCTATTGGTCGACGCTATAAGTCCCCCACCATTGGGACGCCCGAACAAAGGGACGAGGCTACGTCGGCGGAGTTACTAAGATCGGTACCATTAGAAAGTCGTTGATGGTTGTTGGGTGCGGTTTGTTCCGTGCGTGTCGGGTAAGAACGTGTCGGTCGGTCGGTCGGTTGGTTGGTCGTTCGTTCGTTCGTTCGGTCGATCGGTCGGTTTGTTGATTGAATTGATTTTGATTGGTTGATTCAATCTCCTAGTTACTTTTTCTTTCCGTTCGTAATTAACGCGCGCATGAATTTTGCGAAAAAACTTCACGAAGAAAACTACCACCCGATTCAGTTTTGTTTTTTTTTTTGTTTCGTTCGGGGGAGAATAAGTTGTGCTGCTATCAACGATAATAATTATTAACAATAAGAGAGAGAACGAGAAATATATATCGATATATATATTATTATTATTTCTAATCCAATATTATTTCGTGGAAATAATAAAGTGGGATTGAATATAATTTGAGATTATAAATAAATCACGGTTTTTATATATAATCAGTAAGATTTCTTTCGAAACCGATTTTGAAACGGTGAAAGAAAGGGAAAAACGACGTGAATAAGAATTATATTATCGAAAGGATATTTCGTGTATTGTGATTGGAGAAATAGAGAGAGAAAAAGAGAAAGAAGTAAAAAGGAAAATTCGTGGAAAGCGTCCTGAAATTTTCTCTTCTATTTGAGAGAGGCAACGTTTTTCGATTGGTTGTCATCGTCCGTTGTGTCTGAAAAGGACGACGAGATATACCAGGAAGAGGGAAAAAGGGAGAGGGAGAGAATATACAGAGAGAACTAACTTGGTGGTGTGGCGTCGCGAGAGGTAGAATCGACGTGGCTGTGGCGGCGACGGCGCCATTTTGTAGAATATTTTCGCGTGCAACAGCAGCAGCAGCAGTAACGGCTTTTTTCCGTTAAAATTTTAATCGAAGAGATAATAGATATCTTAAGTTCGGCAAAATTGATCGATTATCAATATCGCCGAAGGAAAGTTGGTTAGCGACGGAAAAATTGGTGAAAGGATTATTGAATGGGAAGAAGGAGAGCGTTCGAAGAAGAAAAGGAAAAGGAAAGGAAAAGAAAAGAGAAGAGAAGATAAGAGAAAAGACGACAACAATAAAAGGACATCATCGTCGTTCTTGCGGTGGAATCGTAAAAGATTCGACTGCGAAGAATAATAGTATATTACATTTGTGAGAAAATACTAAAGGGTGAAAGAGAAAAAAAGAGAAAGAGAGAGAGAGAGGGTGTGATTGTGGGGGAAAGTATTTGTAATAAAAAGAATTCATAATAGATATCAAAGATGAGATTGGAAATAGTCTCGGCGGCGGATTTTTTGGTCCACTTGCTGCGCCTGCAGGCTGGACAACTTTCTGAGCGACAGCTCGAAATGTTCAAGTCATCATTGACGGAGGTGTTGCGGCATCGTTATAGGGATCATTGGTTTCCGGATCGTCCGAATCGTGGCTCGGGTTATCGTTGCATACGGATTAATGGGAAAATGGATCCCGTTATAGCACAGGCTGGTGCTAACGTTGGATTATTACCGGCTGTATTGCACAGCTTATTCCCGAGCGAATTGACGATGTGGATTGATCCGTCGGAGGTCTCTTATAGGATCGGAGAAAACGGTTCCATCTGTGTATTATATGAACGTACCGAGCCAGATCCCGAGGAAACAACATCTTCCCACCAACATCATCAGCAACACCACCACCAACATCATCAACAACACCACCAGCATCAGCAGCATCATCAACAGCAACACCAACACCATCAGCATCAGCATTCTCGTTCTTCTCATCACCACCACCACAATCACCATCATCACCAACACCACCAGCATCAGCAGCATCATCAACAGCAACACCAACACCATCAGCATCAGCATTCTCGTTCTTCTCATCACCACCACCACAATCACCATCATCACCAACACCACCAGCATCAGCAGCAACAACAGCAACAACAATTTGAAAGCTGCAAAGACTCCCTTTTGCTCGAGCACACGCAATTCAGCGAGCAAATAGCGGCGTTCGTTTCAAGTTGAAGAATTTAATATTATTATGAAAGAAAAGATAAATACAATATAAACCTAATAATTAAAATAATGATGATGATACAAACAAAAGTAAGATATACATATATATATATATAGAAAGGGAAGGATATATAAAACGCAAATGTAACGAGTGTTGTGGTTATTAATTCGACTCTCGCTCGTTATAGTTTTTATGTCTCTCGTCACCTCTCCACTGTCGTCTAAGTCGTCTAAATCGTCGTCATCGTCGTCGTCGTCCTAGTAGTTTACTCGTTGTCTCATCGTTTTTTCGTCTTAAGTCGTTCTCATCAAATTTTATCCTCTCGTATCGGACCAGACAGAGAGAGGCCCACCACCAATGTGTGTGTGTCTTTCTTTTTCTGCCTTTTTATCTTTTTCGTTAGTTCGTTTCCTTCCCCTTCTTCCACCCCACCCCCTCAAACACCTTTCCTCTGAATTTTCCGTTTATTTTACTATCACCAAGAAGAAACTGTATTTTCGTTGATTTTTTTCTCTTTTCTTTATTTCTTTCTTTCGTGTCGACGGAAGAAGACAACACCGCAATCAATGCTCCATATTATTATTATTATTATTTCTAAACCAACGAAGAAATTTCACCTTTATCTCTACTACTAAACACGGTTCCCAAACAACGATCTAACGAAAGTTTCACCTTTAACAATTAAAATCTATCTCTCTCTCTCAATCCAATTGTTTTTGCCAACAATTTGTGAACACAACGGATATGATGAAGTATATAAAGAAAGAGAAGCAACAAAATATATGTGAAACTGGATCGAAAATGATTATTTTATATAATGGAGGCTAAGAAAAATATACTCAATTTAATAATAAAAAAAACAACAACAAATATCATACAAACAAACAAAACACATCTAGTCGAAACAGCCTTTCATCATCCAACAAATGAAAAGAAGCAACAACAGAAAAAGAAAACAAAATAAAAAAGAAAAAGAAAAATTCAAATTTTTCCTGAAGAAGTACATAGAAAAAGGAATAGAATAATATATATTATTTCTCTTCTTATAATTTTCACTAACTGTGTTACGAAGGAGGAGATCTCTTGATGTTGAAGCAGAAGAAGAAGAAGAAGAAACTGGAAAGAGAAGAATGAAAGTAAATGGGGAGAGGGATAAAGAAGAAGAAGAAGAAGAATAAAAAAGGATATATTATATCGAGTTTCTTGCAAGCAAGCAAGCAAGCAAAGCTGCATCATCGTAGGTCATCATAATCGTTGTCTGCCCTCCCCTATCTTTTCCTTTCTTTATTTCTTTCTTTCTTGCTTTGTTGAATCTTTCAAACCGGACGAATTGATCTCAGCCTCTCCTCGTCTCGGTTTACAGAGGAATTTCAAACGAAGAAGGAACAACGAATCCTTCAACCACCATCACCACCATCACTACCAACCTCCTTCGTGTTATATATTAAAACTCAACTATTATTTTTCTTTTTCCTCTCACGACGAAGAAGCAGCATACAAACATTACCAACCTAACTAAAACCCCTACTGTGTGGTGATCTCTTAGAAAAAGAAGAAGAAGAAGATGATAAAAAGAGCAAGCTAGTTAGCAAGCAAACAAACAAAAAAGAAAAGAAAGAGAAGAGAGAAGAAGAATATAGAGAGGGTTCAATACTTCTTTCTCGTTTACCTCTTTTACTCTCGTACTCTTTCTTTATCTTTCTCTCTCTTGATACATTTATTATCTACGCAACAACATTCGATCATCGTTATATTCAAAATCCACTACCACCAACCCTTTTTGGTCTCTTCTGACTAAACTTTCATGAAGGGTTAAAAAAAACAACGGTTTCTCCTTATACTGGGCTATATGTATATGTATATATATATATATATATATGTTGCTCCTGTTGCTTAATATTATATTCTCTATCCACTATTTTTGCAACGATAATAATCTAACGTTAATTCATCGTCATCGTCAAGAAAAGGAAAAAATAAGCAGAAGAAGATAAAGAAGATGAAGAAGAACAAGAAAGAAGAATGAAGAAGAAGAAGAAGATGAAGATGAAGATGAAGAAGATGATGATGCCAAGCAGTTTACTCTCTTTCTTTTTTTTTTTTTTTTTCTTTTGCACCCCAATCTCCCCTCTTTAATTTCCATCGAGGGAGGACTAATTTAAGGGACTTATATGAATTCAGGATTTCAAAATAATCATCCTCTCTCTCGATAATTATTAGGTGAGCTCTATAACGTATACTGTGATTTCTGATTCTCCTCAGAAATCGGGTGGAAGAACTGAGGGGTGAGGAGGATGCTAATTCCTCAACAACATCATCAACAACAACAACAACAACTACTACTACTACTACTCCAACTCCTCCTCACCGTTGACGAGACCTACTCTTCTTTCTTGATATTTTATTGATATTTCTTTTTCATTTTTTTTTTTTATCGTCACATCATCGTCATCCATCACCAAGGACGATTTTTCTATCAACTGCAACACTATATATATATATATATATATATATATATATATATATATAAATATNTATATATATATATATATAAATATGTATATCAACAAGAAGGTATGTCCGTACAACAAGTAACAATCGTTTCAAACGATTTAATAATATCTTCCCATGGAAAACAAATCAACTGCAACCACCATCCCCCACCCCACCCCCTTTTCTTCTTCGCGATTTTGAGATTCACCCCCCACCGTTTCTTCTGCGCTTGCTCCTCGTCCCTCTCCGTTGCACTGCGAGAGCAACGAGACTAAATTCAACAACCGACACTGCAGCATTTACACAATAATAATAATAATAATAATTATTATTATTAATATTAAACCAATAATAATTATCAACCGAGCTGCTTTCGTCAAACTCGTTCGCGTTATTTTGAAAGAAAAAAAAACACATTTAAAAAGAATAATATTAATTCATTGGAGAAAAATTGAAAAACAAACAAACAAACAAACATTGTATCTACTAACGCATATATGTTATATATATATGTACATTTGGAATAATATTCATTCATTTTTCTGTTCTCTTTCTTCGATATAAATTTTGCCAAACAATCTCCCAGAGAGACACGATATTAAAAAAGAAAAAAAAGAAAGAAACGAAAAGAAAAGAAATTAGAAATGATTATATTATAATAAATTCATGAGAGAACAACAACAACAAACAACAACAGCAAAATGTTTAACAGAAAACAAAACGTTAACGTGAAATTGCAATGCGATTGTAAATTTTAATTTCGAAATAAATAAATAAATAAAAAAAAAACATAAGAAAGGGATAAGAAAAGAAAATATTAACGACGCGAATTTTTAAATATGTACATATGTATAGGGCGTTATGTATGTAGAAGAAGAAGAAGAAAAAAAAAGAAAAGGAAATCACGCGTGTAATTAAATTAATAATAATTATAATAATAATAATAATAATAGTAACGCGTATATATACCATCAAACCAATTCACCGTTTTCGAATTGTATATTATTGTTTTTATGTTTCTACATTTCTTTTTGTTTTTTTATTTGTTCTCTTTTTACATCGATAATCTTCGTGTATTATTATTATCTTTATTTTATTAATAATATCTATATATATTATATATATTTTTTTAAAATAATTTTTTGTAAACGAGAGAAAGAAAGAAATTGAATTGCGATCGTGATAGAGTGAAAAGAAGAGGGTGCCTGTAAGGGTGCAGAGAGAGAGAGAGAGAAGGGTGTGTGAGAGAGAGAGAGAGAGAGAGAGAGAGAAAAAGGGATGTTGCAAATGAAACCTGTGATTTTTTTCTTTATATTTTTCATCGTTCGCGCGAAGGGATGAAAGGGCGGGGTGGGGAGGGGAGGGGTGGGAATGGATGTATTTTTAATTTTTCCCTTTGATTATTCTTTTTTTTTTTTTTTTTCTAATCATTTTTTCTTTTCACCTCTTTCTTTCTATCTTTCTGTCTTTCTTTCTGTCTTTCTTTCTTTCTTTTTCATCCCCTATTCAAAAATCTTCTTTCAAACCGGCGGCGACACATTACCGAAACGTAAAATAATTTTTTCCGAATGTTCTCTTCTTCTTCTTTTTTTTTTTCTTCTTCTTCTTTTCTTTTCTCCTCACACGAATGTGTAAAAAATAAACAAAAGGTTAAAATAGAAAAGAGAAATAAAGAAAAAGGGAAACGCGCGCGCGCGTGCGTGTATTTGTCGCGTGAGTGTGTTAGACGTAAGTGCGAAGGAGAATGAATTTGTCCGTGTATTATGAGTATGCGTGAGTATGTGTGTGAGAGAGAGAGGGAGAGATGTAAAATTGTATGTTTTTGCGCACGAGGGTAGAAATAATCTGGTCGGTGTATCGTTATCGCGAAAAAATATGTATATATATTTTCACACTCATTTTACAGACACACACACACACACACATAAATAATACATATACACCACAAAGAGAGAGAGAGAGACAATAACGATTCGATTGGCCAATTTATCTTTTCTTCATTATCGCATATGTTGTATTTATAGTTTTATTAAAATAATCTGTATGTATATATATTATATATGTAGATATATATATATAAAATATAAGAATATATATATTGAAGCATTTAACGGTGATAATTTTTTCTTTGTTATATTTTATTTTTTTTGTTTTTCATTCTTTCTTTCTTTCTTTCTTTCTTTATTTTATTTTTACAAAAAAAAAAAAAATATTCATTTCGAATAATATACAAAAAAAAATAATATTATTATATATATATTTAAAGAAAACATGTGGGGAAAAAGGTAATAAACGGGATACGTAAAAAAAATGATACAAAAATTTCGTCAGAGATAATTTGCCAAAGAATTAGTCAGAGACCACCACCAACGTGCAAAGTATATAAACTAAAATTATAATATTTAATCAAATAAATATTTTCAAGGTCGTGAATGATTAAATCAATCGATGAGTCAGTCGGTCTCTTTTTAAAAAAAAAAAAAACACAAATTATTTTTTTATTATTTTTAAACATAGAAATTTCGAGAGAATAAAAGATATAATAATAATTATTATTATTATTATTATGATTTTTTGAATTTAAAAATATGCGTGTGTATGGTGAGTGTGTGTGTGTGTATTTAATATTGCAATGATAGGCACATACTATTTTTCGCGATTTCGATAGAATAGAACAAATGAATGATACACGTTTGCATGTGCATGTGTGAAATTATTAATACTAATAATAATAATAATAATAATAATAATAATAATAATAAAAAAGAGAACATAGTAGCTGTCGGATGACGATTATCGTTAAAACCATTATTCGTTTCGTGACATGTCACAAACGCTTATCGTACTCGAGCATTTAGTATGAATACATGTGTATACGTGTATATGTGTAATATTCGGTAAGAATGTTTTTGCACGTGTATTTGAATTTGTCTGTGTGTGTGTGTATGGATATATCGAACGAATGATGATAACAGTAAAAATGCATTTGTGTATGAATGCTAGTTTGTATGTGTGTATGCATGTTGTATGCAAGTAATTACCCTTTAAAGATACGAAAGTAGTAAAGTGTGAACGGTTAATGAGAACAAAACAAAGAAGAAGAAACACCGTGGGTGATGATGCAATCACGAAGAAAATGCAATAGGAATTTTTTTTTCTTTTTCTTTTTTTTCATTTTTCTTCAAAAGTTTTTAAATTGTTTGACGATATTCTATATACAAAAAAAAAAAAGAATTGTGGAACAGAAAAAGAAATAGAGAGAAATACGTATATATATATATATGTGTACAGAAAAACAATAATAATATTTAAAGAAAAATGATTAAATATTCGAGAAAAAGAAAAAATTGAAAAGAAAATTTTTTTAAGAACGAAGTGTGGCTTGTTAAATAAAAAGAAAACAAAAAAGAAAGAAAGAAACGTTTTATTCGCGTTCGACCCTTTTTTAAAGTGTGAAAAAAATTATAAGAAAAGGGCTCTCCGTTTTCGTAGCAATTAAATAGTATAACGTGTCTGTGATTAAATAATTAAAAATAGAAATGAAAGAGAGAGAGAGAGATAGAGATAGACAATATAAAAATAATCTCACGTAAATATATAAAAAAAAAAAAAAAACGACCTAAAGAGAATTTAAATAATAATTTTAAAGGGGAATGAAAAAAGAAAATGAGAGAAACGAGTGAAGAAGAATAAAAAAAAAAAAAAGAAAAAAGGACAAATAAAACTTCTTTTAGCGCATATTGTTGACAAATGAGAAATAATAAAAAAAAAAACAAAAATGAATAACCACAAATAAATCAATGAAATATATTGTATATATACATGGATATGTAATTTGTGTATGTATCTTTATGTGAATTGTTTTATTTGTGTGTTTGTTGTGTATGGTGTGTGGTGTGTGTGTGCTTGCGTCGGAACAATTTTCAAACTAATTTGTATACAAGTGAAGATTGAAAAAAAAAAAAAGAGAAAAAAGATAAGAGAGTGAGAGAGAGAGAGAGAGAGAGAGAGAGAGAGACAGAGACAGAGAATAGTACCTTCAGCATTGTGATTCAATTTGTGATAACATTTTATCCTTCTTTTTATTATTATTATTACTACTACTATTTACTATTGTACTACTATTTACTACTACTCTATTATATTATTATTATTATAAATATTATTACTATTATTATATAATTTTAATCAATAATAATTTCTTTTTTTAAATAAATAAGTTTTTTTAAGTACTTGTACCTATCTATCTATCTATCTATCTATCTATCTTATACATACATACATGCATACATATATATACTCATTTATTAGAAACCTTATTCTTCATTATTTTTTTGTTGCTTGTGTTATATCATATATATATATTTTTTTTAATCTTATTGAAAAGAAAACCAAATGAAATTACAATGCGTGCATACACACATACACATATATATGCGCTAATAGGGGAGAGGTAAAATAAATATATGAAAAAGA